TAGTGAAGGGATGAGGCACAAGTTGGATCCCAGTGGGTTGAAGAGTGAATGGGGACGGTCAGGTAGTCGAGCTGGTGAGCATGGTTCTTTCTTCAAGGAGGTTACCTGTGATGGGAAAGAGCGTCATTGCTGGAGGCTTTGTAGGAAGGGGAGCAGCTCTTGGAAAGTTGAAATTACAAGTCTCCTTGTGGCTACCTACCTTGGATTGATTCTACTAGATCCAACCCCCACATTTCACCCCCTCTCCACTCTTACCCCATGCCTGTTGATGGCACGAGTTCCCTGCCCTGGAGGCCCTTTCTTGCTCTCCCTCACATATCTAAACCTTACCTGTCTGTGTCTCCTTACCCTTATGAAACTTTCCCTGAGATGGTAGAAAGGGGGGAGTATTGAACCTCAGGCTCTGCTACTAAGTATGTGGCTGCAAGAATTTATATTTATATGTGTGTATATTATGTATATATAATAATTGATAACTGCTATAAAGAAAAATAAGACAGGGTAAGGAACAGAGGGTTGAGGAGATACAGGGAAGGGTACTATTTTATGTAGAACAGCAAGGGAAACTTTTTTAAAAGGATGACATGGGAGCAGAGTAGAATGAAGTAAGAGGCTATGACACATGACCATCTTGGGGAGGAGCGCCTTAGCCATAGGAGAGTGTGGTGAGTTGGGGGGAGATTTGAAGGTGGGGAAAGACTGCAGGTGCAAAGGCCCTGAGGTGGGAATGTGCTTCCTATAATCTAGAAATAGCAAGAAGGCTGGTGTGGCTTGAATACTGTGGTACAGATGTATTTTGTGCCAAGGGTGATGGGAAGACTCAGAGAAATTTTGAGTAGAGAAAGCAGGTTTATTTTTCCAATGATTGTTCTGGTAGCTTTATGGGAAATAGATTGTAGAGGGAAGGAGTGGAAACAGGAGACAGGATGAAGCACAGGGCAAAAGCCGTTGAGTTAGGGCCTCCCCGATGGCGCAGCGGTTGAGCGTTGGGTTGCGAAGCTGCCCGCGGCCTCTGCGGTGCCGGTTCGATCCCCGGCTGCTCCCCGGCCACCGGAGGAGGGTCCCACATGGCGCGCAGACCTCTCCTGCCGCCCGCTGCTCCCCTCAGCAGTGTACTTCGTTCCTTCTGCCTGCTCTGCTCCCCGCTCTGGCTCTGGTGAATTCTCTCGCCCTCCCGCACTTCTGACTGTACCCAGTGCATGTATAAACAAAACAAACAAACGAACAAAACAAAATAAATAAAACATGCCTCTATAAAAAAAAAAAAAAAAAAAAAAAAAAGCCGTTGAGTTAGAGAAGTGATCAGGTTTTAGATGTGTTTTGAAGGATTTGCTAATGAGCTAGATGCTGTGTAGTATGAAGGAGTCAAAGTTGATTCCAAGGTTTTTAGCCTGAGCCAATGTTGAGTGGTAGTCTTGAGCTGAAATTGGGAAAACTCAGAGGTGGGGGGAGAGGAGACTGGGTTTTGTGGGGCAAGTTTTTTCCCTCTGTTCTTACTTAGGCAATTTAGTACTTAATGAGATGATTTTTTAATTACAGCTATAAGAATTTTATAGATCATCTAATTAAGTGATTTCTAATGATAGCCACCTTTTACATGATTAGAAAAAATACCTGCCTCTTCCCACCAAGATGAATCTCCCTACCTTTGCTTCTCCACCCCACTATTGAGGGTGTCATATTCCTCAATGTTGGGCCAGAATAAAGGTTGAAAACCACTGCCCTATTTAGTTTGTTTTATGGGTGAAAAGCCAGGGCTGAAGCAGGTATTGCAATTGCCCAGGGGTACAAAGCTCATTTTAGTCAGTAATTCTATCAGGTGTGGTTAGTTTCTCTTTTCAGTTGGATTGTAAACTCCTTGAAAGCAAGAATTATGTCTTAAATTCTTTCATATTTTCCTTTTTTGACTTAGGAGAGTATGGAGTAAGATGAGCCATCACTCCAGATATTAAGTCAAACTTAAAACCCAATGAGAAGAAATCAAGTCTTGTGCACACAAGTGATGCCAGCTGTCTGACCTGCTCTTAGCAGCCACGGCATGTGCATTGCTGGATTTCCCAGTGGGTTTGAGGCTTTGGCAAAATATAGACCCCCAAAAGGGTGGGAGGTGGGGGGAGTGGAGAGAGGGAGAGAGAGAGAGAGAGAGAGAGAGAGAGAGAGAGAGAGAGAGAGAGATCCCTTAGTCTTGAAGAATTGAACCAAAATTATGGAATCTGATAACCCAGAAGGAATAGTTTTTTCCTTTGGCAAACTGTACTGTAGTTTGCAATTGCTTTTATGTTGAACTGTGTGAGAGGCAAGACCAAAATAACTTCCAGTGCTTAGGGCTGCTACTGGTCTGGGTTCAGACCCGGAAAGTCTTTCTTGTATGTCTGGTGGTGGATGTGCATTTTATATTAATACGAGATTCTGTCCGTGTGGTACTTTTATTCTCTAATAGGTGTTTAAATACATCTGTAGGTATTTAATTCTAATTAAAATTAATTAAAGGCTGTACTTCTAATCTGCTGTTTTTAGAGATTGCTAGAGCAATTTTCTTTCATTTTTTCCCCTTTAATAATTAGAAAATATATGCTCCCGGGGTGGCAAGAGCTACCAGGGGCATTCCCGCCGTAACTTTAGAGAAACAATATTTACTGTCAACTCAGGTGCAATATGCTGACTTGAATGACTGCTTAGAGGCGGTGACAGATGCACTGTCAAGCTTGTGTTATGTGCCTCTGACCCTGTGTGCTGCTTTCGAGCAATTGCTTTTGCTGTGGACCATACCCGACACCCCCCAGCTCCTATTTTGATCAAGAGCTCGCACTTGCAAGATGTTATGAGTTAGAGGGTGTGATTGCAAATTTCCTTCCTTACTTCCTCCCTCCCACCCCCATCTTCAAAGCTAGGTGAAATGGAGTGATTTTTTTCTAGGGAATAAATCCAAAATCTTGACATTTTAGATACTTGGGGCCAACCAAATAAAGTAAGGCTTTAAAGAAACACATCTGCCTTTTTGATAGTGTGCAGAAGTAAGTTGTTCTTTTGTTTAGAGTGTTAGTACTGCTGAATAGAGAGATCAGCCCCATGCTGGAAATCTTAGTGTAAGGAATCAAAATCTGTCTTTCAGTTTTGTTTCTTGTTTCTATAGGTTTAGTAGTGCTAAACTAAAAATGGAATTAATAGAAATAAAATGACTATATTCATTTATTAAAAAAATACTCAGTGTTCCTATGTGTATGGCATGATAATTTAAAATGATAACAGAAACATAATAGAATGAGTATCTTTCAAACACTGCATTAAGCACAATACACGTTATGCATTGTTCTCTTGCCCCTACCCCTTGTCGCTGGACCACCCTGACTACCCATAACAAAAGATTTTGTGCTTTATAAGGGCAGAAATTTGGGTCTGTTTTTTCTGTAGTCTGTTGTTTCCTCATCCCCACTGATCATACAAGCCTATCACATGTAAGGACTAAGTAAATGTTTTTGAATAAACAAGTTATTTAATCTCCAGCAGCCCTCTGAGGCAGATATTACTGTCCAAATCTTATTGGTAGGTAATGGGGCACGGTTCAAACTTAACGTGGACATCTCTTCACTCCGTTGGGTGGCAGTGTGTAGTACAGTTAAGGGAGTTTTCAGTTCTTGCCTTCTCTCTAGGACAGGAGGCTTACCCACAAGAAAGGTTAAACAGTAGGCTAGCAGTTATTTCTTGACAATACAAGAGTTGTGGAAAGGCCTAGAGAAATGACAAGTAATGGAGATGCCAGTAAATGTGTAGATGGCCTGGAGCACACACATCTCATACCTAGCATATATACCTAAATGCATGTAAACTATTATTGGTACTATGGCTACTAGTATATCACCTTTGTTGTCATCGTCATTTTCTTGAATCCTGTGAACTTTCATCTGAAGTGGGTAATTTCATATGTGGATTGAAGTGGTCAGAGATGGTTTCTTGAACAGCATGGTCCTTGCAATTTGGACAAATGGGTAAGTGGGGACAGAAGAGGAGACACTCAAGATGAAAAAATACTTACGAATACGGGACCCGAGACCAAAAATGTGTTTTTCCTATTCCTTGGGCTATGATATATCTGACACAGAAGACCCATGTTGATTACTAGAGGCAGTAAAGATTAAGATTGGTAATTTAGGACCTTCCTGGTAGCACCAGGGGTTAAGACGCAGCCTATGAAGCTGTCTGCAGCCACTGCAGCACGAGTTCGGTCCCCTGCCAGGGAGCTACCCACATGGTACAGCACACCTCTCCTGACTTGCCTGCTGCTCCCCTCAGCAGTGTATTTCAGTCAGTCTGCTGTTCTGTTCCCCACTCTGTCTCTGATGAGTCCTCTCGCCCCCCACACCTCTGGCCTGTATCCCAGTTCTTGTATGAATAAATAAATAAATCTTTAAAAAAAAGATTGGTAATTTAGAATTTTTTATGTTAGGATGCTGCATTATATTTATAAAATTGAATTTTAAACCCTGTATGTGTAGTAAGAAATTATATATGTATACAAATGTAATATGTATATGTGTATATATATATAAAAGAAATGGTTATTTTTAAATGCTTTAATCTGCAGTCACGTCATTGTATCTTCTTAGGAAATAATATTTGTGCTTTGGTGTCACATAGTCTGTGAGACAGACTTTATCCTAATAAAAAGGCTGCTTTCATTTGGCCTTGTGTTTATGAAATTTAAGACCGTCATTTGTGATTCTTGACGTAAATGTATCTTGGAGGATTAGTAAGAGTGTGATGTGCTGCCACAGTCCCTTAAACAGCCTGTAACTCTCTGGGGGAGCAGCCTGTGCCTGATCCATTCTCATATCTCTTCCAGCACTGAACTCAGTTGCTGGCATGAGCTAAAGATGCAGTAAATTGTGGTCAGATTGAATGCATTCAAAGCATGCAAGGCTGGCCACCTCTGGACTCGTGGGAGTAATTTGCAGCAGAGCTATATTTTTTGAGTTATGTAACACATTCAATCTTGTTTTTAGGTCCAGCCTGATGACTGGAGGAGCTAAGCGAGCAGTACCCAACCCTTGGCTCTTCGAGGAGCCAGAAGAGACCAGAGGCTTGGGTTTTGATGAAATTCGACAACAGCAGCAGAGAATTATCCAAGGTACTGAATACCCAAGGCGTGTGTCTCAGAAACCTTGTCAAGAGTCTCACTGTGTCCTTGAATGTTCCTTATACCCAATGAAAATTGGAGGGAGAAACTGTTGGTCTTTAAAAACTCTTGACAATTTTGTACCTTGGGATGCCTGACTTGTAGACAAATGCTATCACCCATGAGGGTAGCTTCTGGAAGCTGTGGTTCTGTTCTAGGGAAAGAGCACACACAGGTCTGCATCTAATAAACCCAGCTAAATATGAGGCAGGGGTTACTTTTCTCTAAATGCAAAATTCCACCTTTTTCTTACATAAAATAAATAGATTTGGCTATTGCCTTTAAGTTTATCTTAAACCTACCAGTTATTTTTTTAACTTCTATTTTTTAAATTTCAGAAACAATACGTGATTGTTATGCCAAGTACAAACAATATAGGGATATGTAAAATGAAAAGGTCTTTACATTGCTTCTCCAATCTCAAACAGTGAAAGGTTAATACATAATTCTGCAGGTTGGGCCTCCCTGTTGGCCTAGGGGTTAAGTCTCAGTGCTATCACCACAACGGCCTGAGTTTGATTCCCAGCCAGGGAGGTGACCCACATAGCACAGCAGACCTCTCCTGTCTCGGCTGCAGCTCCCCTCACAGTGTATTTCAATAGCTCTGCCTGTTCTGCTCCCCACTCTGTCTCTGGTGAATCCTCTCACACACACACCATCTCTGGCCTATATCCCAGTTTTTCTATGCAAAAAAAATTCCACAGGCTTTTTTCTAACTCATGTACATACATATAGTTAATGGATCTATTTGTAATTCCATGACTTTTTATTTTTTCACTTAATCTGTGTCATGGAAGTTTTTTTTTTTCCCTTTTTTAGATTTATTTATTTATTTATACAAACACTGGGTACAGTCAGAAGCACAGGAGGGTGAGAGAATTCACCAGAGTCAGAGCAGGGAGCAGAGCAGGCAGAAGGACCGAAGTACACTGCTGAGAGGCCGCAGGAGAGGTCTGCGTGCCATGTGGGACCCTCCTCCAGTGGCCGGGGAGCAGCCGGGGATCGAACTGCCGCTGCAGAGGCTGCGGGCAACTTCGAAACCCAGCACTCAACCGCTGCACCACCGGGGAGGCCCTGTCATGGAAGTTTTTTCATATCAAAATTAAGATATCTTGGACCTCCCCAGTGGCACAGCGGTTGAGCACTGAGTTGCAAAGCTGCCTGCAGCCTCTGCAGCACCGGTTCGATCCCCGGCCACCAGGCGAGGGTCCTGCATGTGCGCAGACCTCTTCTGCCACCCACTGCTCCCCTCAGCTGTGTACTTCTTCATTCTGCCTGTTACACTCTCCGCTCTGGCTCTGGTGAATTCTCTCACCCTCCCGTGCCTCTGACTGTACCCAGTGCTTGTATAAATAAAATAAATAAATCTTTAAAAAAAAATTAAGATGTTATTCTTTCTAATTCTCCTTTTTAGAAAAGTTTATTGAGGCATAGTTGATATTATCACAAATAACACATACTTGAAGTATGACTCAGTAGGTTTTGACATATATACCTGTAAAACCTTCACTACAATCAAAATAATGAATATAATCAGTACTCCCAGTTTTCTTCATGTCTCCTTCTAACTTTTTTTTTTTTTAAAGATTTATTTATTTTTATTTATACAAGCACTGGGTGTAGTCAGAAGCACGGGAGGGTGAGAGAACTTACCAGAGCCAGAGCGGGGAGCAGAGCAGGCAGAAGGACCGAACTACACTGCTGAGGGGAGCAGCGGGCGGCAGGAGTGGTCTGCGGACCATGTGGGACCCTCCTCTGGAGGCCAGGGAGGGGCGGCAGGAGAGGTCTGCGGGCCATGTGGGACCCTCCTCCAGAGACCAGGGATCGAACCGGCGCTGCAGAGGCTGTGGGCAGCTTCGCAACCCAGTGCTCAACCGCTGCGCCACCGGGGAGACCCTTCCTTCTAACTCTTACTCCTGTCCCTCTCCCTACCCCGCACAACTGCTGACCTTTGTTCTGCCACCACCAACTAGCCCTCCCACAATTATATGATATCTAGTTAGAAGATAATTTTTCTGAATGTTAAAGATAGGAAGTATCTCAACATCTTACTATTCACAAGGAATTTTAAAAATAAGTGTGTTCATTTTCTCTTGCTACTGTAATCACTTAACCACAAGTGTAGTGACTTAAAGTTTGAATTTATTGTCTGACTGTAGATCACAAGTTTCACATGGGTCTCACTGGGCTAAGATCAAGGGAGGGCTTGTTTCCTTTCTGGAGGCTCTAGGGGAGAAATCATTCCCCTGCCCTTTCCAGCTTCTACAAGCTATCCACATCCCTTGGTCCCCGTCTTCAAAATTTTCAAGGCTAGTTTCATGTCTCACCCTGCTTCATATTTCTGTCTGACTGTAACTGAGAAAGGTTCTCTGTTTTTAAGGACTCATATGATTACAGAGGGCATCATCCAGACATGTGGGATCGTATCTATTTCATTTTTTTTTCCTATCTCAAATTTTTTAACCTTAATCACATCTGCAAAATACCTTTTGCCATGTGAGATCACAAATTCACAAGTTCCAGAAATTTATCTAAGGACGTTTTTTAGGAGGGGCATTCTGCATAGCACAATGATCATCCTGAAACCATTATAAAATTGGAGAATGATTAATAGGGTACAGTACGTTGCAAATGATCTGTGATGGTATGTAGTAGTTATGCATGATTTTGCCTGACTGCTTGGTTCTTGATTGTTTATATTTCTGCGAGTAGCAGCATTTTGCTTTTCTCATTGTCTCCAAAGTTGGCCATAGAATTTCCACTTAGACATGATGCTTTAGGACTTTGAGAAGCTCAGATCATCATTATATTTTTATTATGTGTGCTGCATTTGGTTATCTGGACTTTTCTGTGTGTTTGGATTATGGAGCAAAAATTTATTATGACAGCAAGGAGGTGCTAAGTTCTACTAAGAAAGATTTGAGTGAAGCAGAGTTTTTAGCTCTTTTTGTTTTTCTTCAGAGAAATAACCTGTAGGGAGTTAAGTGAGACAATGAGTCAAGGTTGAAAGAAAAGAGTATATTGGAAGTATTAATCTAAGTCTTTACTAGATAAAGCAACATAGACCTTAGTGGCTCTTTTCCTAATTGAAAACTTTAGAGGAACCTCCTTTTCTCTTTTGAAATTGTTTTACCTTTTAATTCACTTTGACACCTGACCCTCAGTCCTGTACATAGATTATTCTTGGGATGCATTTGGAATTTTACAATAACGTCGGTCACCCTAGAGCAGCACTAGGTTGATGATAGATTTGCCTTGGAGACCATCCAAAAGGTTGTTACTAAAAACCAAAAGTACCTCATTATAAGTGATTTCACTATAAAATGGTCCTTTGGAATGATCCCTAGAGACAATAGGTTGTTTGTATAGTTTTCAAAGTACATAGTGTCAAAAAATGTCACTAAGGGGTCCTTACCTCATACCATTAGTTTAAATAAATTCCAGATGAATTAAAGAATTAGGTGTAATGGCTTAATTCCATTAAAAGACTAAGAAAAATATATAAGTAAATCTTAATGTGATCTGTGGTAAGAAGACCTTTGTGATTCTGAGGATGTGCCTTTATGTGGAAAAGTCTTTTACAAAAACACCATCAACAAATGAAGCTGCAACTGGCATTATACCTTCATCTGGTATGTTGCGTTTGGGTAGAAAGATTCAGGTTCATGGTGTTCTTCCCAATGCACCTCAAAGCTAAGGAAAAAAATTCTTACAAAGATCACTGAGACTGTGTAGTTAAAAAAAAATTTTTTTAAAGAAAATATCTCAATTAACTTGAGTTTTCTCTTTAAATTTTTAAAATCTACAAATGTAATATATCTTCATTTTAAAAACAAAAATACTATTTCACTATATTCTTTTGTATCCTGCTTTTTAACTTACTATATCATGAACTTTCAGTAGCAAAATATACATGTAAAATATCATTTTTCATGGCTGCAGTATTACTATGTGGGTGTATTATATATTTTTAAACAAAACACTGTGGGTATTTACAAAATTTCAAATTTTTCACTACTCTAAATATATCTCGGTCCAGTCAGGAGGAGAAAAAAATTTAAATAGGGAAAAGTTTAGTATACAGAATTATTAGCTATTAGGAGGATTAGCAGGATTACCTAGCAAACAGTAAAGAGAACAAAATAGTGGGTGTGATTTAATCACTTACTGTAAGGCAGAGATAGAATGGCCAAGGAAGCATCCTGAGCAGATCTTGTTTAAAGGGGTTCATTGGATTTCAGAGAAGTCACAGTGGTGCTGAGCTAGTGGAACTTTCTGAAAATCTGCCCTCTGGAGTACCAGGAAATACTGTTCATGGGGAAGTATTAACTGGAGACATTCTGTTATAAAACCACCCATGGAGAAGGTGTGGGGAGAAGTTGCTGGATTCTGGTTGTGCTATGCTATACACTGAAGGAAGTGGACATGGATGATACAAGCCCTGCAGGAGCCTATCGAGAGAACAGGCAGGAAGCAGGAAGCAAAATCCCTTTCCTTCTGTAATGTCTCCGCAGTCTCCTCCACTAACAGAGCTCACAAAGGAAAATGTACTTAAAGGATTCAAATCCCTTTTCATAGAGCAGTCAAAAGAGGGGAAATTTGGATATGAGAAGCAATACTTTGATAACCAGTAGGGAAACAGTGTTTCAAGTTGGCCTTGTATATACATCATGGCTACTGTCTGAACATTTTCTTACATGCATTCCTAGAGGTAGAATTGATAGATTAAAAGGACAGGCACAATTTGCGCAGTCCTCCCATTACATAGTGCTTAGGAGCTTCTAGTTCTTTACACTATGGTTAACCCTGGTAATTAGCATTCTTTTTAATGCTTACAATCTGATTTTTTTTTTTCTTGGAAGAACTAGGTTGTCGGCCAGATGTGTGTGGGTGAGAGGATTCACCAGAGACAGAGTGGGGAGCAGAACAGGAGACTTGACTGAAATACACTGTTAAGGGGAGCAGCGGGCTAGACAGGAGAGGTCTGCTGTGCCAAAAAATCATTTCTTATTTGTGTTGCAAAAAACATAGTAGTGATGTCAAAGGTTTTATTTTTTCATTCTTAATTCTTTTGTGAAGTTCTTATCTACATTCTTTGTCCATTTAAAATTTGGAATATTAAGTATTTTAATTGATTTGCATACACTATATATTATCAAAGTTTAAATGTTCAGTCAAATCTTGCATTATTTTGTTTTTAATATTTAAAAATTTTAATTCATCTGAAGTTTAGTTTAAGGTATTAATATTTAACTTTTTCTTATTTTCCAATAATGTTAGCTATTCTTTCTTTTTTTCCTAATTGATTTAAAATGTTGTCTTTATCATATATTGAATTGAGTTACATGCCTGGACACTATAAATTATTTTCCTTTGACTTTTAGTTAATTGTTTTACTTTTTTTTTCAGAACAGGATGCGGGCCTCGATGCCCTTTCATCTATCATAAGTCGCCAAAAACAAATGGGGCAGGAAATTGGAAATGAACTGGATGAACAAAATGGTAAGAACACATCTGAGGTTGACCAGATTTGCCACTCAGGATAAACACTAAAACCTTGAATACTTGTTAAGTGATTTTAATATTACAAGACATGTAAAGTGGTTCAACATCAATCGATTATTATAGTTTAATGCAGTTGAGGGAAAAGTGTAGCAGAGTTAGACTGTAGTCATTAAACACAGCCACGCACCCATACGGTATTTCCATCAGTGACAGGCTGTGTGCACTGTGGTGGTCCTTTGTGTAGTCTAGGTGTGTAAGAGGCTCTACCATCTTGGTGTGTGTAATTATCACATTTGCACAGCAATGAGATCATCTGGCACATTTCTCAGAAGGTATCCCCGTTAAGATATGCATGACTGTGCCAGGTAAAGAAGTTTGATTATAAATTCCAGTTCCCTGTAGCTAGTTTTAAAAGTACTTTGTTCTGTGATCCACTTATCCCAAGAGCGTTCCTTTGCTTGGTAATGTGAAGCTTCTGAGCACAGTGTACAGTGATGTGTACAGTGATGTGAAGCACAGCAAGATTGTGGGGACTCCACGTTGCCTCCACACCCAGTGGAGCTGGCTCCTTTTCCATCATAAGTACCAGGTTCCAGGGTAAAAAATGCTTGAAGATCTTTGTTCAGGGTTTGATGTGATAGATCTGGTTGAAGAAAGTTTAACCACAAGCAGGACGCCTTAGGATCTTATCCTAATGGCCCTGGTGCTTGAAGTGTGATGTGAGGAGATGGAGCCTGCATGAGAGTGGCAGCAGTGGGGATGGAGAAGAGAGAATGGATGTGAGGGACTGCCAGGGCTTTTCCATGGCAGACACAGTCAGGGGAATTGGGTAGGTCACAGTTTTGTGAGTGGAGACCATCTGTCCAGTTTGGACATGTCCAATTAGAGATGCCAGTGAGGAATCCAAGTGGAGTGTCAAGCAGACAGTTGGAGATACGGTACCAGAGCATAGTGAGTAAAGGGAAGAGATGTGCGGAGCTTCAGCATAGAGGTGACGTGTGAAAGCACAGGAATCGTTGAGCTTCAGTGAAGCGAGCACTCATTTAAAGCCCCCTGCTGTGTGCTAAGCACTTTCCATTATGTCATTCCATTTAATCAGCATGCACCGGGGAGACAGTGTTATCTCTGTTTGTGAGAGATGAAGCTCAGCGTGTCAGAGGGACCTCCTAATTTCACATCAATTCTAAGTGATGTGAACTCAAGTCTTTGGATTCTAATGGCATTGCTTTGTCTGCTATGCCTGCTTCCTCTGTAAGGAAGACAAAGTAGGGAGGGAAAAGTAAAAAGGAGATGCTTCTACAGCTTTAGCATTTAGTTATAATACCATAAGAGAATGGCTTTCAAGAAAAAGCATCATGTGGGAGTGAGCCCGTGCTTGATCTGGAGGGAGGGGTGCACCTGTCTCCTTGATCTCTACAAAAAATGAGTTGATGTTGCTCAGATAAATAAATTCCATTTATCATTCCTCTAGTATAGATTACTTAAGCAAATGGGAAAACCTTCCATCTTTATCATCCTAATAGTGGTTTTTCAATAGTTTGAGCACAAAGGGGAGGGTAATTTAGTCCTTTCCCTAATAGTGCTAGGTGAATGCACTCATTTCTGTATTCACATATAATTTGCTTATTGGTCAATTCCTTCCTTGAATAACAATATTGGTAAGAAATAAGCTTGGCGGAAAATCTATCAGATCTATAATTTTTCTTTATCCCGAGAAAACAGCCTATTCAGTTAGTTGGACTAAAAAAGACCTCTAGCCACTGTAGAAGTGCAGGCCTAACACCTACCCATCATGTGATGTGCTTGGTTGAGTCAGCATGTAATCTCTGGGTAGATGGTTAAGAATTAATGGCACAGGGCCTCCCCGGTGGCGCAGTGGTTGAGCGCTGGGTTGTGAAGCTGCCTGCAGCCTCTGCAGCGCCGGTTTGATCCCCGGCTGCTCCCCGGCCACCGGAGGAGGGTCCCGCATGGCGCGCAGACCTCTCCTGCCGCCCGCTGCTCCCCTCAGCAGTGTACTTTGGTCCTTCTGCCTGCTCTGCTCCCTGCTCTGGCTCTGGTGAATTCTCTCACCCTCCCGTGCTTCTGACTGTACCCAGTGCTTGTATAAATAAATGGATAAATCTTTAAAAAAAAAAAAATTAAAAAAAAAAAAAGAATTAATGGCACATACTTTGGTGGGGAGACTTGCTGACTTCCTGGATGAAATCCCTAGACATTTTACCTGCATGAGCAATCATGGCAGCTTGTTCTAATCTTTTTTTTTTTTTTTTTAAATAATTTTATTTTATATATTTTTTACATCATTTTTAATTTTTGCACATTGTATGTATTTTCATCTTGGTTATAGTCCCCATACAATTCCCACCCCCTTGTTTTGATCCTACTTTCTCCTCTCCCCCCCGGCCCCTTGGACTGTGTCTCTGGTTTGTAGCTGCTTGTTGATTTTGATTAGTCTTTTTCCTGGTCCCTATTTTGTCTTTCCTTGAGTTCAGTGATTATACTTTGCTATGCATTAGAAACACCTAGGGAACTTTAGAAACACCTAAAGCCCCGGCCATACCTGTGTTGGTTTTCCATTGTTAGTATAACAAATTACCACAAACTTAGTGGCCTGAAACAACATAAACACATTAGCCTACGGTCCTACAGGTCAGAAGTCTGATCTGGGTCTCACTGCGCTAACACTAGAATATAAGAGCTGTATTCCCTTCTGGATACGGTAGGGGAGAATTCACTGCCTTTTGCTAGCTTCTGGAAACTGCCTGTATTTAGAGCTTTCTTGATTTGTGTCCCCTCCTCTATCTTGAAATCCAACAACAGATAATTGAGTCCTTCTCACATTGCATCACTGTGACCTCTAACCTCTGTCTCCCTCTTCTACTTCTAAGGACTGGGCTAACCCAGACTAATTTCCCTATTTGAGGTCTGCTGATTAGCAACCTTAACTCCATCTATAACCTTAATACCCCATGGCTGTGTAACCTAACATATTCCAGGGTGTCAGGGACTGGGGTGTAGACATCTGGGGTAGGATGTATTATTCTGCTTACCACAGTTCTTTATCCCAGTTAATTCAGAATCTCTAGGGTGGGGCCCAAGAATCAGTATTTTTTAAAGCTTCTCAGATGATCTCACTGTGCTGCCAAATTTGAGAACCAGTGCCTTTGTTGAATATGCTGAGAGAATGCTGTACCATTGCTTCGCATATAGTCACCTACAGATGTAAATCCCACACGTGCACGGAACTTTCATGTAGTTACATATATACACATCTGCCATGCTAGTCATAGCTGGAGATTCTTTCTTCTGATCACATGTATTTCCTCCATCCTTTCCACTTCTTCCTTTGTGCCTCCCCAGTCCCCTGTTTTCCAGACCTGGATGTGTACATGTGTACATAGCCAAACATGAAGTGTTTTTCCATTAGTTGCCCAGAAAAACTGGGTTTTCTCTGTAGTGGCCTCCCAGAGAGATGGTGGTTAGCTTGATGGTTTGCTTATGTGCACATTTGCTCTTCAGAAAGCGCATAGAGTCAGCCATTTTCTTTCCTAGGAACGGATAGTCTCTCTGAGGATACAAAACCATATCCCTGTCAGGACTGTAACCAACCTTTATTCCTTTTGTCAAAATCAAAAAGGCAATTTTATCTGTAGTTGTTGAGAGCAGGGTTGCAGTCCCTTCTGGAGTTTATTGTGACCTGAGTGTGTTGTGAGGAGTCGGGGGAAACTGGAGAAGCATTGCATTTTTGTTATAAATATGTCAATTTGATTTACTGACCTACTGAATCATTCTTTTTGGTTTTTAATTAAATAAAAGAAACAATAGGCCAAGATAATGGCCTTTTTGGAATCGAGTGTCAAAACCTTGGTAACAACATACATTGTACTTACAGCATAATCACAAAGCTGGAGGGTGGAATTACCAGTTTGAGATTTCAGTTTCTAGCCTTCTCATATAGAGTTAAAAAGGACCTGACCAGCACCAGTAATTACCCTGTTCATATGCCAGTGACTAACCCTAGTGAGGAAAAGGATTAGCAGTTAAGTGAAAACACCAGCGATAGGAGACCTAAATGTGCCCTGGATGTAGAGGGTGGGGAGCTGGTTAAGGTGGCAGCAGAGAGATCACCTCATGGAACCACAGAGTTTGGTGACCTTCAGTTCCACGTGAGTTATATGGGTAGCAGGGCATGAAGGGCTCACATCAGACAACTCAGATGCTGTTCCAGAATTAAGAGTTGTGTGGCCCTCAAATTTCTCAAAGTTCATGCTCAAGAGGGCAGGCCTTTTGAAAAGAACACTACAACAAGAAAAGCAGCAGAATTGATTTGTCTAAGTAGATGTTTCTCAGACCTACCTTTGGTGTTGATTTTTTTTTTTAATATTTTATTTATGCATACAAGAGCTGGGTTGTAGGCCAGAGGAGCAGGGGGTGAGAGAATTCACTAGAGACAGAGTAGGGAGCAGAACAGGTGGAGCTACTGAAATACACTTCTGAGGGGAGCAGCGGGCAAGACAGGAGAGATCTGCTGTGCCATGTGGGTCACCTCCCTGACTAGGGATCCAGCTCCTGCTTCAGAGGCTGCAGACAGCTTCATAGTGTTGAGACTTAACCCCTTGCGCCACCAGAGAGGTCCCATTGACCAAGTCTGCACATCAACACCAAGAAGTACACTTCTAAAGGATGAAAATGCATCGAGAACAGGTTGTTTCATGAATCTCTGCTAGTGTGTGTCACTCCTCCTTAATCTTTTTGATGTTCAAATATCCCAAGTTTGTCCAGTCCTTTTGCTGTCTCCCTTTCAATCTTTGAACATTCCCTTGCTTTCTGAAAGAAACCAAAGTAACCATTGTTTTTGATAGCAGCAATACTGGGGTTGTGGAGACAAGCATGTCCTCTGAAACAGCTGGAAATACAGTTGTGCTCCTTGAAGGACACAAAAATAATGAAAGATTTCATATGTATATCAGTGATTACCACTGCAAGTCAGTTAGTAT